GCTGAAAGCTTCTCACTTGGTTGCTGACACAACATTCTAAAGGCAATGTAGAGCTCTTCACCTGTTTCCGGTGCGCAAAAAGTGTTCTCAATGACATCAAGGTACTCTTTAGGAGTTGCGTCTGGGTTGTTGAAGCGGACAGCTTGCAGGATCTCTAGTGCAGGACCCTTTACACTTTCCATTATTTTCATTCTCTTTTCTCTATCTGGTCGATCACACTCCTCCATCATTAATCGAACTTGCTCTATCCAATTATCCAGCTGCTCTTCTCCAGGGGGTGTGGGGACGACACCAGAGAAAGTTCTCAATCTCCTATACGAGTTACTGTCACTAGTGGGCTTTAATGTTCTTTGCATTATGTCTACCACTGCTCTAATAATAGCTTCAGGTGAGGAGGCTTGAAGTGGAAAAGCTGGACCAGGTATTTGTCTCTGCTCCTCTTCAGCATCCCTTACTTGTTCACCAGTGGTTACGTCTTCCTGTTCGGAGGGCCCAAAAATCCTCCATGGCAAGTCACTGCCTCCTGGTAACACATCCAGAGGGATGGCTTTTGTGTTAACTTTCTCTCTGCATTCACATAGCACAGCTAGGCTTTGACTTTGAGGATCATACACCCTTCCTCTGACTCTAACACGTCCAAGAGCTTTTATGGACTCCAGTGTTTCTTCGATTACGTCAATTTCTGTGTCTTCTGGGACATCTTTGACCAATATGGCATATGCAGGGTTAATGCCTTCTCCTTTGCACCAGTTTTGCAGTTGTGCCATGGTGCCCCTCTTTTTACCTTGGTTAAATGCACTGTACTGTCTGTTTGAACCTAGCTTTCTGTAGTAGCACCTAACCTGAGCTCAGGGAAATCACTGTAGGTTATTTACACTAAACTGGTAACTAAAATCAAGTATTATTTATTTATTTATGTTTAACGTGAGAGACCTATGAACTAAAAATGTAGCATCTGTAATTTATTCTCTTTTTATTATTCTGCTTATCTCACCTCACTACTGGTGTTGTCTGGGTCAGGAACTAAAATGAAACTAATCTATCCCAGCGGTGCCTCCATTTTTATGTAGCACCCCAACACTCAGTAAATGCCTATGTTAAAGGAACTCACCCTGGACTTGAATGATGGGGTGTTTGGGTTCGATTTATTAAGGTAGCTACCAAGAAGGTTTACCTGTTTTGTGTGAAGCTTTTTATAGCCTAATACTTTATGAATAGCCAACAACACTGTTAGACTAAGCAGTGGCTCTAGTCACATGTACTGTACACTATTTTAAATAACTGACCCCAGACAACTCTTTCAAATAAATGAAATAATGTTTTACTAACCGGTGGTTTGCAGTGTAACACAAATAATATTTACTTTGTTAGTTAAGAAGAAACAAAAATGAAATAACACAATTACCCAAATTAGACTTCTTTAAAATAAAAATATTATAGTTGAAATACTAAATTGTAAACAAAATACCCTTTACCAAAATTGGCAAAACACTGTAGAAAATCAGACACTTATAATAAGCAAAATAGAATTGGCAATATCAAAATACTATTCAAAACTTAAATTATCTCAGGTCTCTAACATTCCTAGTTCTTACCACTTTAATATGATTTATCTGTACTCATCAGACTCAGATCAAATGCTACTTAACTAAACTCTAAACAAAACAGTGGGCCCACACACACACTCTCACACTCACACAAAAACAATAAAAGTTGCAGGCCTGTGTGTTGCTCGGTGCGGTGTGGCAGGCAAATCTTTATCCTCAGTGGCAATTAACAGTCACACAGAAAATCCAACTCACGGTCTGGAATAAGTCCTGGAGAAACAGTTCATGAAGAGATGGAGATGAAAACCAACGGCAGCAAATGCAAAGTCCTCCTCAGGAAGCGCGAAACAGTCCTTCCCGTTCAGCAATGGCTTCCTCTTGGCTAGCAGCTCGCTTGCTTTAGCTTAGTTAGCACAGTCACTCTTGCAAAACTCAAGCGCCCTAATCCACTGTGATTAGGAAAAAAATGCATGTTACTGTCCTCAGCTACAGCTTCTTATGTTACTTAAACATTCAGCAAGTTATCTACCAAAACGTCATTACTTCTTAACTTTACTTTGCTCCACATTTCTCTCTCTGTTCTCTTCTCTCCTTCTCGTCGAGTCTTCCGTCTCTCTTGTTGTCGCTTTTTTCTCTTCCCGCCCCCTTTTCGCTCACATGCTGAACAGCATGAACCAATGACACAAATCTGAATATTCACGTTTGGTTTACCACACACTTTTCTTCAGCTACTATATAGAACAATTTTAGGTACTTACTTGATTAACTATTTATACTCTACTTTATTATGAATTTATGTTAATTTCTTGGTTAACATTTCATCTATCACTGCTTTTAATCAAAATTACTGTCAGCTTACTTGCATTACTAAATTATTTAATTAAATAATTGAAATAATTATTTGTATTACAAATGAACTTGTTTCAACCCCTGTACATTTACACCGGGCTACAAGAGTTATTGTCCGATAGGAGAGTGAGGATGGCAGTGTCGTCAGAGTATTTGAGGTTGGTGGTGGTGGGAGAGGGGCTGGTGCAGTTATTGGTGTACAGGGTGTAGAGGAAAAGGCTTAGCACACAGCCCTGAGGGGCTCTGAGTTTGGTGATGAGTGCAGGTGATGTTGTTGTGCCAACCTGAACACCTTCCCGTCTGTCTGAGAGGAAGTTGTGCAGGAGATGGATCAGGATGGGTGGAGTGTTGAGGTGATGTAGTTTCCTTTGGATGGTGTTAAAAGCTGAGTTGAAGCTGACAAAGAGGATCCTGGCGAGATTGCCTGAGGAGTCTAGGTGCTGGAGGACAAGATGCAGTAGGCAGGCGACAGTGTCCTCTGTGCCCCTTTTTTCCCTGTAGGCTAATTGCAGGGGGTCCAATTGGTTTTTGACAAACGGGAGGATGGTCTTTTCTTATTTGTTGTTTTTATATTTTTGGAGCACAAGACAACAACATACATACTGCATAACGCCAATGTCTATTTACACTTGTGTAGTAGCAACTCTTTCCTGATCTCAGTCTCTCAGCCCCCATGGCCCGATTCCATCTCTCTATAATCGTTTGACACAGTGACCATTGGAACACACAAAAAGATTGTCTAGTTTGACACTGGCATAAGTGCACACAAACACTTAAATTGCTTTTAAGATGTATTATAGCATGACAAACTAATATGTAAGACATGTTTAATAAGCAAATTGTAAAAAAAAAATTTATGTCAGAATGAAGGTCATCTTTTAAGCTTTATTTCCTGTTAATATGTGTTTTCTCTTAAATTTCCTGGCAGTGGCAAGGACTGGGAGGACACGTGGGAGCCAGCTCAACATATACAAATGTAATAATATTTAGTTCTGTCCTGTTCAGTTTATTTTCATCTTTATGTTATAAATGTATGTATTTTGCATTACCATATTATATACTATTGGTTCATCCAGGGCAATCCTGTCAGCCCTGGGGAAGGGGACACAATGGCTATAAATGGTCATACTAAGTAATATGGAAATATTTATATGAAACATGAAGTAGTTTAAGGGGTAAATGGGGTCTAAACTGCTCCAAATTGAAAAGCATGACTAAGGATAAGGTCACCATCAATATGTTGGACACATTTTGCCACTAAATATCCCTTAAAATATGTTTTAGTGATTTTATCCATCTTGGCTCTATATAGGCTGTGAGAAAGTACACATCAAAGTGCCTTGGCAGTGAGAAAGATGAAAATGTCATCCTACTTTTTCGTAGGATGACAGTGAAGACATCGTTGGAAAGGTCTTGATCTGCAGAGCACAGATATACCACTGTGAACATTCTAGGTGGTTTCTGCTCCTCAGGAATGCCCTTTGAACCTTGAACCTAAGGCACTTTTAAAGGCTTACAGAAAAGCAACACAATGTGATACAAACAGGGGGAAAACATTTTTGGAAAGCTCTTGACTTCTTCTATCATGGCCTTCGTCAAGCCAACAGGGGGCGCTACTGGGTAGGGTTAAAACATGATTTCACCCAATTAACAATAGTAAAAATGAAATCTGACCAAATAAATGTGCTCCCCAGTCCCTAAAGCATATAATAAACTTGCAAAGTTCCCTGACACATTTTCACATAATAGGGAAAACACTTTAGAACTACAAAAACATGGCGCCGCGGACTTAAGTGTATTGTATTTTCCAAACGTTTGTAGTTTTTTGATTGATTTTCCGGCTTAGGGTTAGGGTTTTGCCCGTTTTTCAAGAGAGAAAGTATAATCTGAACATATTTTGTTCATATTATAGGGAGATTCAGGTTGTAAAAAAAAAAAAATATATATAAGTGCTTTTTTTAGACGTGTTTGCAGCTGCTTTGTTTGTCCAAAAGAACTGGTGCGTTCAAGGACGGATTGAGAAACGTTTTAAAATCAGAACTTTATGGATTTCGACCCCGATTTATTTTTTGTTTCTATAAAGTGTAAGTGCAGAGGGTAGTTTGATTACATGTCGTTTCAGAATGAACCGGTGTAGCACAGTGCAACTGCAATTTGTTGCAAAAGCATCACAAGCGACAGTAGCGGCCGGCTTTCATTCACTTCCTATGTATGGTTGCGACCACGGGCGTCTAGTGTCGGCTGCGTCGAGCAGCGCAATCTCACTATTCAATTACTACACGTATGTATTATAACCAAGCAAAATCTAGACTATTTGATGCTTGTGCAATGTGCCATGAACCTCTGTGTGCCTCTATCAGTCAAAACAGCCAGCCTGTAGCCTAAGGTTTTTAAAAGTAATATCTGAAGGTGTCATCGTCATATTAATCTACACACAGCATGCAGTGGCATAAAATGGTTATTGTATTAATGTAGTTCACATATGTATCTATTTTAACCAAGGAAAGTATGAATTATTTGAGGCTTTTTTATGATAATAACAACAATGTTGATAGTGAACTTTATTGGTATTTGTTAGAAAGACTTTCATAGTAGTAACTAAAACGAAATAAAATGACAATAAATGCTTTAATGTCATAAACAACCAATTGAATGACTTACTACATACACAAAGTAAGGAGGAATTTATGAATTAAATGCACATTTTCGAAAAAGTTTTTAAAAGAGAAAGATGTGCCTTACATTCAATAACCTTTATTTTCACTCGAAAGACAGCGGTTTCCCTCATTTACAGTGACGACACAATAAACACAATTACAAGGATAACATATAATGAACCGAGAACACAGAAATAAAATAGGATAAAAAATATGATAAAATATATCTAGAAAGTATATACAATACGAAAAAAAGAGCAAGAATAAAAATAAGATGAAATAAATACTAAATGAACAATGAATTCAGCTAAAACAGTTCAGTCAGATGTGTAAAATTCAGAAATCATAGATTTAAATAAACCAAAAGTAGGAAGAGCAGTCATTTTTAAGTTGCTCTGCAGAACATTCCATGAGTTAGGGGCACTATATGAGAAGGGTTGGAGTGAGCTCGGGGAACCTTTAGGAGGAGCAGCTCACTCCAACCTAGGAATAACTGCCTTCTCATATTCACGTCCTGTTCCCTGCAGCGTTCACTTCAGATCCTCAAGGTCAGAGGCAGAGTTGCTGTCAGAATATTCCTCTGAAAAGCTTTGAAGGAAGTTCTCTGCTCCAGTCAAAACTTGAAGGTAGCAGTGTCTCGCAAAAGCCATAATTTCTCTGACACGATGCAGCTTCTGTTTGGCGATGCTCTGCAGACCTTTCATCCCGTCTTCAGTCAAAGCCCATGGTGACTCTTGAACATAAAACCAAGCCAGTATTAGTGACTTTATCATCAGTCATTGATGTGTACATTCATGTGATGTCAAATCAAAAAACATACCTTGCATTGTTGTCCTAGTAATCAGAGAAGACAGCTCTTTTAAGGAATCCCCACAAACTGTTAAGGACCTCCAGTGGCGGTTCATCTCTGACAAAAGGATAGTTTTTTCTTCCCGATGTCTTCGTTCCGCCATGACACTGTCAAAAACTCTCCTCTTCATTCTGAGGTCGACAGAGTCTGTGAAGCATTTATGACAAGAATTTCATGGCCATGAGTGTTAACATGTCTGTACGCCCTACAACAGAAAATATGATGTTATCACTATTTTGCCTATTTCCTGAACCAAAGTTCATACTATGTGGCCAACTCACCTGCTTTTGACATATGCTTTGTCGTAACTGCTATCCTAGAGAGGAAGGCATTCACTTGTTCCACCTCCTCCCCAAGCGTTAACCCAGCCCCCTCCAGAAATGCTCCACTCCATTTGATCTGTTAAAATATATTAAAAAACAAGGCATGTTATAATTTGTCAATGTTGACGTTAAGGTTTTCACATAAAGTTATTCTGTCATATGGTGATGATTACTTACTTCACATTTAAAATCATGGGCTTTTGCATGAAACACCGAGAGGAAGGGCTTCATTTCCAGCAGATGTTTAAACTCAGGGCAGCTTCTAATGATTTTCTCCAGGTATGGCGAATACTTGCAGGCTACATCCATGCAAAAGAATGTAGACCAGCTTCTCCTGTAGAAAAAGGGGATAGGCAAACATTTCTCCCCTGTACATGTTGAGGGCACAGAGGAGGACTCCATGCCGACACACAGCCAGCTCCAGTCCCTCCTCGTCCAGTTTGCTGGCTGATTTTTGGGACGTCTCTCGAGCCGCCGACCATTCCCCACCACAAACAGCTCTTCCAGAGACCTACAATATTAAAATTGATTGATGAAAATGGTCTAGAGACTTACAGTTCATATCAATACTCTTTAATAGGAGATTATTGTATTCTTGGATATGTAATTATAATCTGCAATATTACATGTTTTGTCGTTCTGTGAATGTAGTTGACAAATTGTGTTACGTCTTCATCCTTTGCTATGAAGAGGTTATCAAAAATGGCCTGCTCCTCAGATCTAAATAAAACAAAAGGGACAGTTTATGATATCTCGAATTCTAAGGTTAATTGGTAGACATTAAGAGACTTATTTTTTGTTATTAGTTCAAACACTGTGACATCATGAATATTTTATTGTACCTTGCTGCGTTTTTAAAACGGTCATGCTTGCGGTTTCCATCCATGGAAACTGCAAGCATGACCGGGCTGCACGCTCAACAGGCCTTGCGGAGGCTGTCCACCTCATATCTCACAGCCTCCCACTCGAAGAAGCTTTTGATGAAGCTATCGCCTGAGATTTTCCCAGTCTATCACAAAAAGGACATCTTGATCTAATATTTAAAAACTAAAATAGAAGGACACAGCTTTTCAATGCACAATACAAACTGGTCAAAAACGACAAATAACTTCAATACTCACACGGCCAAAGCGGACAGCTCGCTGATCGAGCATTTTTAAAAATGCCTGACAGGACAGTCCAGGTGCAGACATTTTAATTTCTTCAAATGAGAAGAAAACATCTGTGGCATAGATTGTGGCAAAGTGAAGGGTAGCTGGCCAGTAGTAACTCTTTAGAACATCCTCAACTTCAGCAGTCCACGTGGCTTTGCATGCACTGCAAGCCAACTCTGGCATGCTGAGCTCATGTCGTCCTTGAAAAAAACAAAAAAAAACACTATAATGTAAATTTTCACACACTTAATTATATAAATGTTTTTTTTTAGAATATGTTATGCATTTCTCAATACAAAAAATGTGATGTTATGCACATCCATATGAGGCTGGGGGCTGGGCAGGACAAACAATACACATGCATCTAAAAAAAAAAAATCATGGAAAACGCCAAGCCTTCTTCTGTTTTAATTTAGATGAGTACAACAGGTCATAGGAATCAAAAATCTAGTACCTCAATATATTAGAATATTACATAAGACCAGTCAAAAGAATAATTTATCATACAGAAATGTCAACGTTATGAAAAGTACTGTATGTATATTTTAAATTCATTATGTATGATGAATCTGGAATTCACTCTTCACTTTTAGAATCAAATCACGGAAAGTAAAACTTTCAAATGATATTTAATTTTTTTGAAATGCAATCGATGTAGCAAAAAAAGGAAGCCGTCTGGCAAATTTGGTATTCCTCAGGGGATATTGAAATGTTGTGTCCTTTCTAGAATCAAAGTGTTTTCGAAACATTTACTTGTTGTGCTGACGTCACTGTCTTAATGCCTTACTCAGTACTCATGTTAAGATATCATACAAAGCCATTACAAACACCCGGGAGTTTGTGAGATGGGATAGATATTATTAAGAACAAACTTTTCAAACAGGACAAATGTTCTTCACATTCTTACCATTCACTGTGATCACAGCCACAGCCTTTCCTGGTTTGATCCTCAATGAGTCTGTTGGACAACCACATATTTTTTCAGGGATCTCCACAGGTACATAACGCACTGAAAAAAGATAATGTGGATAAAGAATCATTTGTATCGACTGGGATATACAACATTGTAAAGTGACAGATTTCTGACTAAAAAAGACTGAACTTTACTGTTGAAAATTAAAGAAGACTTGAAGAATATGAAGCACAATGCTGATAAGTATTAAAGTGAACATGAAGAAGCTAAAATTTTCAGTCCAGCAAGAAAATATATTTTGTACACTCACAAACCAGAAATTACCACAGGGGGAAAGGGCCTTATTCAGGACATAAGTTGTTGGGGGTAATGGCTGGAAGAATCCCGAAGTACTGCCATCTCTGTTGTGGAGGGGGTGTCTGGTGTGCATGCTGACATCACATTTGGCACAGAAGAAGCGGCGTGGACGGCAATCACAGCAACGAACAACAGCGGAATTGCTCGAACACTGTTGGCAGATGTGGCCTTCTACATTTTCTAGTGCCACTGTGGTCTTGCTGCCCTCCAGCTTTCTGAAAATATATTTTTGCTGGTGCTCCAGTTTGATGAAGCCAGAGGAGCTCTTGGAGATGGTGCTTCCATCTCATCTCCTGTGGCATCACACAATGAATGCTGGAGTTCTTGTAACTCTGTTAAAATGGTAAAAAAAAAAAAAAACATATTCAAAAGCACTAATATTTTTCTATTTTACAGTGTACTGATGTAGTGGCTGTTAAAGGCATAACTTTTTTTTCATAATTTTGATATACTGAATTTCAAATACAAAGATAGAGTTTACATCTTAACTATGTATTACATACACTGCAGATACAAGTAAAAATATCTGAACATAATGCTTTGGGCAACTGGAAGCAACGTAAAGTACATACCAATAGCCTCTGGAGCAAAGACCACCTCAGAGTTAGTGTCAGGAGCATCTACAGGAGGATGAGTCTTCTGACGGCAGCCAGCTGTACCAGAATAAAAAACAAACAATTATTCACAGCATTAAAATTGTCTACTTGTCCCAGCACTACTTGCACATGATAGCCCAGTTAACAGAGTAAATTATGAAATCCTCACCATCAAACATTTATCTAGAGGAGACTATGTGGAAGGGACAAGTGGATTTTCTTCCCACACATCATAATGTGGACATGTATTGAACTGTACAGACACTGACAGTAAATTAAAATACTGGCAACGCAATCACAACAAACTATTTGAAAGGCAGTCTTGCCAAGAACAATATATAATATATAATATAATACATTAAAAGCTTTATGTTTTCCTTGGTTTGGTATAAACGAAAATCAGGATCTTTAAAATATCATGAATGCGAAAACAATACTGACCCTGGTTAGACTGACGCCTGCTTGAGTGTGGCCTTCGGATTACGTTGCCATCGCTGTCCCTCTTCTTCCACCTTATTGTTGGCAGAGGTGCAGTAGCTTGCTCTTTCTGGAGCTCACCAAGCAAGTCATCCACCCCTTGCAGGTCATTGCTGAGATTTGCAGCCAGGTTATCTGCACTCTCGAGCAGATCCTAGAGCTCTGAATCGCTCATGATGAAGACAAACAGACAGATAGACAGACAACAGAAAGTTGGACAAATAAGACAAACACAAAGGTAAGGACAGGGACTGTGATAGAGAGAGAGTGTTAGAGTGAGTGAGAGAGAGGGAGAGAACGGCTAACAGGTAAAACACAGCAAGGACAGGTTAACAAGAAAGACGTGGCTCTAAAAGCTGCCTTTGGGTTGTTTTGTTTTCAATAAAACAGGAAAGGGTTGGTAGGATGACAAATTTGCAGGATCTGTTGAGAAAAGAGAGAGCAAAATTGGGAACTCAAACCTGGATGAGATACAGTACAGATTTTATTATCATAATTGACAGATAAAAGGTACCATTTCATTTGAAGGTATATGTAGGCTAGGTCTATGCTAGGTCACTGTGCAAAATAATCACAGCCTCCAGTCATTACTTGCCCCTCAGTGATCACTTTGTTGAACTTCTGGTGGTAGCATATCACTTCTAGATTTAAGTAGGCCTAGGCTACAACTTGTAATAATTTAACCTAAAATTGTGGAAACAATGATTAAAGCCTATTTTTTTGTGATTTTTCAGACAGAACCGTATTTATTTCAACAATTTTTATTCTGCATACATGTTGCTAATGTACAGAGATTATAATCATTATATGTATACTGTCTATGATCAACCACGGTAGGTATACATGTTGTAGGAGTGGAAAATAGTGTGGTAGACTTTTGGGTAGGCTGTCTAAATGCTTCATGTCCATCAAAGCACCTCTCAGTCATTAATGCCAGGTAGGCATCGCACACCACATTAAAGATTACATCATAATCTGATCGAAAACATTTATGAAAGGTGTTTCTTGTTCATGGCAACGGTCATTATAGTTTTATGCAAAGCTCTTCTAATAAAATTACACCAAAATAAAGTTGAAATTTAAAGACGCAGCCTTTTTCATCCTGTAGACCTACTAGCTGGCTAAAATACGTCTCTGCACATTTATGACAGTGCCTTAAATAAATCAGTCAAATGAATGATACTCTACAGTTCTAAATGGGCTACCAGCTACATTTGGGCTGATTCTATCAGTTTTTGTGGCGCAGATTTTAGTCCTATTTTTTTCTTTTTACTCTCTTAACCATGCACGCATGCTCTTACCTCAGAAGGAAAACTGCAACTGCCGCCAGGAACGCCCGTCGCATACCATGACGTTGTGAATCGCGCATTTCGTTTGATGGCGCACTTTTGAATGCAAATCTTTGTTTATAAAGATACGAACATTTTACACTGCGGTACAGAGGGAAAAATTAATGAGCCTAGAGAGAGATGGATCTATGCACAACTTCTCAAACTCTAAAGTGACAAGTACCACGCCCCCTGCCCTTGTGCCAGGTCAAAAAGGTCAAAATCGATCAATCAAAATCTGACACTTCGGTCAAATCGATGGATCAAAATCTGACACTTCAAGATGTCTCAGCCCAAAGAGTTCACCACCAGTTCACAATGCCCCCTTCCTACCCCCTACAAGTACAGAGTCAGCAAAGAGTTCACCACCAGTTCACAATGCCCCCTTCCTACCTCTCCCATTTGTTACTTTAAAACTTTTAAAAATACTTTGTTCTTATATGGTACGATGATAAGTGAGAGGGAGTACTCACTCAGGGCTGACCAGATAGACGACTACTCAGCAGTCCACAGCGGGTTGATTTTTCAAAACAAAAGTAGCCTTTACAAGACTACTTTTTCACACACACACACACACACACACACACAAACACACACACACACACACACACACACACACACACAACTGCACGCACACACACACACAAACGCACGCACACGCACACACACACACACACACACACACACACACACACACACACAAATCGATCAAAAATGTGGATAATGTGAAAAACATGTTTTACCAAACTCTGAAGTGAGGGGTTTTTAAAAGGTCTAATAGTTAATAGATTGTAATTACAGATGTCTTAGCCCCATTCACCCCATCCCTCCTTTTTATTAACTGGTTTGTCTTTTTAATTAGTAGCAGATGCGGGTTACGTACCCACACAGACTGTGTTAGGTACATTTTGTTTTATTTAAATTTTATTTTTTTAATTCTATTTTTAAAAAACACGCTAATTTGAACGGTGAAAATCTACTTACAGATTTGGGTGACGGTCTGGAGGACAGTTGGGATGGAAATGCCTTAAAATCCATTCAAGATGCCGAAAATCAAGCCTTGCGTTGAAGAAGACCTGAGGACCGGTGTTGAATCTCTGCCGACGCGGTCGAAAACACCACAGAAAAGACAACATCCTAGTGTGTTTCACGGGGAAATTGGGGGTATTTGTGAAGAGGGTACCCCTGCTGCAGCCCCTGCAACACCGGTACAGAAAAAGAGGAGAGACAGCCTCAGCCCCGGTTGTGTGGATCAGGCTCCTACAGCTGTCGTGAATCCTTCTCCAGAGGCCCCGCTGCAGAGGTGCGAGCGCCAGCAAAACCAACAGCGGACCCCGGATCCTGAAGCCAACGGATCACCAGACGTGCCGGGTGAGAACTTCTAATGTTTTACTATTTGAAGCCTTTTTGTGTGTTTTTGAGCTTTAAGTCATCTAAGGGGTGGTTGTTGAACCTTGCCGCTCCAGCGTTCAAATGAATCAATCATTACGTTACCGTGTCTGTAGCGTCATCCCCCCGTGATGATGTCTCGTATTCTTATGGGTTGCATACACAATGTATTCACACAGGCATGTGTAGAAACAGGTTAACAAAACATGTTTGTTATGAAATACCTCAACAGGCCACCGAGCTGTCACAACAGTGGCTGAGGTCCATGCAGTACCTCCACCCCGCTACCTGTTAGCAACCCCGAGACCCCAGACTCTTCCAAGCCGGTCTGTGTCACCAGCACCCCGCACACCTCTCGTGGTTCCCGAGAAACACCATCTAGTGTCCGAGGAAGATCACTGTGTCAACCTCAAAGCGGTAACGCAGCCAGAAGACTATTTGAAGGTACGTTTGGAAATAAATAAAATGTGTATATATACACATTGGGCCCTATCTTGCCAATCTAAAACGCAAGTATCAAACGCAAAACGCAAGTAGCTTTGTGGGCGGATCTCGGGCGCTGTTGCTATTATGCCGGCGAGATAAATGACTCTTGCACCCGGCGCAAATCTAAAATGGGTTGGTCTGAAGTAGTTACATTAGTCATAGGTGTGGTTTGGGCATAACGTGCAATAAACCAATCAGAGCGTCATCTCACATTCCCTTTAAAAGCAGGCGCGCTTGTTCCATGGAAGATTGCTATTATTACAGCGGATTTGCCAGGCGCACGCCAGGAGCGGTTCACAGCCGAGGAGACTGACGTTCTCGCCAGGGCTGTAAAATACAGAGAAGTGACATTATTGACATGAAATAAATGAAACACAGCCATACAATAAATCAAAACAATGTAAGGCAGCTCCGCAGGAAGAAGACCCTGGCCTCGGGAGCAGTGCGCACGGGCTAGCTGAGGAGGGAGCAGCGCAAACACTAAGGTGCAGAGGATCCAGACACACTACATGCCGGAGGCCCACCCGTTCCTGCAGCAAACCGGTTTTGACATGCTGGAGTGGGAGCTGTCCGGGATGCAGCAAAGTATTAATGCCCGTCTTGACCGGGTGGCGATGTTGCTGCTGCCTCTCAGGTGCATCCCCTCAAGTCTGTGCCCTTAAAATAGCATCTGAATAAGCGCCACTGATTTTAGACTAGGTTTTTCCTGGTCTGTGGCGGAATTGTTTTCTGAAACAGCAAAATAGCACCAGGGAACGTTTGCGCCGGAACACGCCTCCTCTTTTCGCTGAACCGCCCCACCAGAGCGCGAGTTCATTCCCTAATTTAAGGACGTGCGTCGGTGGAGGGAAAATTCCAATGTGCGTCGAGTGCAAAATAGGAATTATACAAGCGCCAGTGTACAAAGTCAATTGCGTGCAAGATAGAGCCCATGATGTTTTCAGAACGTTTTTCCAAAAACTGTAAGATACTTGAGGGGTAGTGATCAGTGACTGGTGAAAAACCATAAGAATCAAAAAAGGTAGCTCCATTGTTCATTTCCAGTGTTAAAGCTAACCAGTGCTCCCCTGGCATATGGGCCGGATGTGTGTTGACTATGAAGTAGGCTGGAAGCCTAAAGGATGAATTCAACAAGGGAAGCTGATCGGCAGCCCACATGCCACAAAATCCATCTCCCAGCAAACAGTGTAAAATATTTTCTATTTGAAGAGTATCCATGTTTCTTTTTTAATAATAATCCACCAGAACCTGTCTTGTAGAGTCGATCTCTAGAACCGAATCGTAACAGGCAAAGACTATGAGCGTAGTGGTTTGTGGCAGGGGTGCTCGGAATCTCATCTCCAGTCTCAAATTACCGTTTGAGACAGGGGAAAGGGCGTCAGTGTCATCGCCTGCTGTGAGATTAAACACAAACAACGTATACCCTGCGTTAAATTCTTCATGGTTGATGCTCAGGGGTAAATCCTTAAGATGTCTTCCGGTGGACAAAAACATGTTGTAAAACTCTCTGGCGGATTGTCTGTTGTTAAATTGGGGCTGGAGTGCCTTAGCAGGAAGCTGTCTGCCATTCTGACAGAGAGCCAGATATTCTACATCATTGTGCATGAAATCGAAGGGGGATAGGTCTCTTCTGCCTGTGAAAGCCTCGTGGTGTACCATGGCCAAGACTATATATTTCGGCATGACACCCAGAAAGAGATTCTCCTGGTTGCATATCCTAGAGTTCGCAGGGATAGAGTATGTTTTCACATTAACTCTTGAAAGCGGATAGAGTGCGTTGCCTTTCATTATGGCTGCTGCATGACCTAAGCGGACGGCTGGAGCCACAGTGACTTTTTTAACAAACAGCGATGCCCACATTATTTTCATGCAGAAGGTAGAGTCGTGAGCCGCTGTGAGACAGAAAGCATCGCTGGCGCAGGTCAGCTTGATTCTTAAGTCAACAGAGTTTAACAAAAGTCTCTCGCAGAAAAATATGTCCCCGTGCAGAGGACCCAGCAGATGTACTTCTCTGGAAACTGCCGTGAAATCGGCTCTCTTGTTCAAACCTTCTTTAGGGCCGTCATCGACGATTATGGAGTTCATAGCACCCGTTGTATCTTTGTAAAATAGACCTGCTGTGAACTGACTCTTGATAGTATCCTCTGAAAAGTTGAGCAGAGTCTCAATCATGGCTCTGTATGGGTGTGTGGCGCCAATTGTGAAATTAATCTATCCCCCGGAATAACGCATTGGCTGAAAATTGTATTTAGAGGGTAATTGATGGGACCCACAGCAGCGTCGTTAGCCAGGTTAGTGCCATCTGTGTTGGTGATTTTCACGCGGAGATGCAAAAGGGTGTTGTTTAGATCCAGATACTTTTCACCATCTCCGGGTATGAAAAACTCTATAGGACCCTGTCTGTGATGGCTGACACGGGGGAAATTTCTGTATAGATTTTATCGTCGATAGAAAGCGGCGTCATAGGGGCTGAAAATAAATCCAGCTCCGTCAGAGTACACTCTGGAGATTTCTGATGCAAAAGAGCCATGTTTTGTTTTTGTATTTTTGTAATGTAATATTGTATTGATCATTCAAATATATCAGAGCTCCGGCCAGGCCTCCTCTTCAACAGCCTACCGCTCAAGACTGATCTTTTCTTATTAGAGCTTGCGCGTTTATTAGAACCAGAACGTACCCCAGGGGGTCGCCTCCTCTTCCTGCGCGACAATACCATAATACCGCCTGAACCCTCTTGCGTCTGATCGTTGGACCTCCCCACAGCACGGCTAAACACATCCGTAGCAATGCTGCCTGCAGCCGTCTTAAGATGAGGTTTAGCTATAGAAAAACCTCTCTTTACCAGAGGGGCCACAAAGCGAAACAATTTGGAGAATAGAGATCCTAAGCCACGTCCGTACATAACAGGTGCCCCATAAAATCCGGGTAAAGCCCCGCCTACTTGGCTCTCATAATAATTTACAAAACGGTGAGGATCCTCTCTCATGCTTACCAACGCCATTTTTTAATGTGTAATGTGTCTTATTACTTACCGTTACTGTCGCTGCTCGGGCGATACAGAATGATGTACGTGTAGACACTGCCTTTTTAAGTTTTTGATCTAAAGTGAAGCCTCACGATAGTCTTCCCATACATAAATCTTATCGGCTTGTTTTGATCCGTTTTTAGCTCAATCTGAATGTTTTCAATGTGTTGTCTGGACACCGGTAAATAATAAGCAGGGTTGAAGCGCTCTGTGATCATACTACCGTAAGACCCCTTGATATCTACCACTCTGAGGAGTGGAGCATAAGCATCACCGACCAGCTGGGGGCGTACAACATCGCTATAACAGTATATGTGGTAAAATCCTGCGTTCATATCCGATGGCAGAGGTGCTGTAAATTGATCACATCTGAACCATTCTCCAGGATACATACCCATCAGGTAAGACACGGGAGCATCAAAGAGTAAATGTGTTTGGCCTCCTGCTTGCATTTCAAATCTCTTTTGAGATTCGTGAAAATTTAGATAGATATCAGAATTAATTTGCCTTAAATAAAGATCCATCTCTTTTTTAAACTGGTCTATGCTCCCTTAATGTCCCCCTCTAAACTTTTTTCTATGTACTTTAGACACGGTTCGTGGGGTCTTTGGGCTTTTCCCTCCAAAGAAAGTATGCTAAATCCGGTAGTACATTATACCAAGTGTGCGGGTATGAAATCTCTCTCAGGGCAACCTCCCATTCTCCTTCTAAATCAATATGTTGCGCCAAATCCACCCTGTAACTGGCGATCGTGTTATCTTTGAAAACGCCTAAGCTAGCGTTGGAAGGCAGGGTGATGAAAAACCCCTTATCCTTCGGACCGTACATGTTGGAATGATACACAACTCTCGTGTACACCTAGGTTTTTATATATTTTTTAAAGTGGAAACCTTGACCCAGCTGTTGAATTTTTCAGGCCAGTTTTTCCAACGTACAAAAGCTTGCTCTTCACCTCTGACTGTACGTCGTTTCAATATCTCCTCTACAGTGTAGACTTCTACGTCTTTACACGTTTTTACTTTTTGCAACTCTGCCTCATAAAAGGAACCTTGTATGATCTCATCATCATAATCTTTCAGTTTGTAAACAGGTGGTTCACGAGGAATGCATTTGTGTATTGTGAACACTTCGTCCGTAAAACTCTGTTCATATTTTTTATCAAACACCCCTCTCACTTTTGATATTCTGAGTGGATCCCCCTTTTTAAAATTCATTTTTAATTCACTTCTCTGAGTGGCTGTGGATGTACCGTACAGGTTTTGAAACATTTGGAAGGCATTCTCTGAGGTCACTTGCATAGGCTTCATTTTAATACTGCTGTGATAGCTGTGATTATAGCTTTTTTTATGTCTTGTAAGACATCGAGGTAGCGCATGGTGTTGTTTGCCGTAAAGTATCTCCACATTCTACTTTTTAAAGTATGATTAAATCTTTCAATCACAGAGGCCTTGAGGTCACTGGCTGTGGAAAAATGTATGATACCGTGTTTTTTCATCAAAGCCTTAAAAGCCTTGTTAAAAAATTCTTTCCCCGCATCGGTTTGTAGTTTTACAGGCGTCTGACTTTCTTCAAAAATAGATTCAAAAGCCTTTACCGCCTCAATGGCTGTTTTTCTCTTCAGAGCTTGTACATAAGCCTTCTTGGAAAACACGTCTATGACCGTTAATAAATAATTATACCCGTCATTATATTCTGACAGAGCTTGCATATCACACAGATCTGCTTGAAATTGGTTTAAAGGGCGAGGTACAAAAACTGTTTCTAATAAAATGTACTCTGGCTGGTTTGTGTAGAGTGTAAGCATCCTGCTCAGATAAAAAGTCTTTGACATTTTCAACTCCTACCCTCTCACGTTTCATCTTGAACATTTTTACATAGTCGTTCTACACCTCCGTTTCTCAGACATGTTGAAAACGGAATGAGAGAAAAATACGATGTACAAGTTATTTTATTAGAGGTTTGCACAGTCACAAATACAAAAGCACGTTATAAACGTACAAGACAAACTTTTCAGTTCTAATAACAAGTATAAAAATTTAAAGAATAGTAAACACACGTTATAAAAGTACAAGATAAACTTTTCAGTTCTAATAACAA